TATGCTTGCTTTTTTATTTTGACAGAAGAAAATCACAATGACTAAAGTTTATCAACCACTTTTTTGTTAGGCACCATACTAAACAATTTACATAAACTATTTTGCTTATTGCTCACAATAGAACCATTAGGTAGGTATTAAATCCCCTGGTTATGAACAAGGAAACTGAGGCTTAGACAGGTTAACAAGTTCAACTGGGTTCTGCAGTTGGTGAGTGACAGAGCTGGGATTGAGGAGTGAGAAGGGTCTCCGCTGACCACAGAGTTCTACTGTTAGTCTCAGTCCAGACGCTCATCCTGTCCAACTCTGCGACCACATGGAGCACGCCAGGATTCCCTGTCCGTTACCAACTCCCGGAGCTCGCCCAAACTCATGTCCATTGAGTCAGTGATGCCATCCAACCATTTCATCCTCTGTCATCCCCTTCTCTTCCTGCTTTCAATCTTTCCCAGTATCAGGGTCTTTTCCAGTGAGTCAGTTCTTCACATCAGGTGGCCAAAGTGTTGGAGATTCAGCTTCAGTATCAGCCCTTCCAATGAATAGTTAGTGTTGATTTCCTTTAGGATTGACTGGTTTGATCTCCTTGCAGTCCGAGGGACTCTCAGGGTCTTCTCCAGCATCACAGTTCAAAAGCATAAATTCTTCAGCGCTCAGCTTTCTTTACTGTCTGAATCTCAAATCCGTACATGACTACTGGAAAAACCACAGCTTTGACTATATGGACCTTTGTTGGCAGAGTAATGTCTCTGCTTTTTAATATGCTGTCTAGGATTGTCATAGTTTCCTTCCAAGGAGCAAGTATCTTTTAATTTCATGGCTGCAGTCACCATCTGCAGTGATTTTGGAGCCCAAGAAAATAAAGCTGTGTCTAGGAACTGCTAGTCTAGCAGCACCTAATAAAATGTAGTACTTTGACAAACCTTGTTTTAATAAAAACCTGTGTTGATAATCTCCTTCCTTTTATTAAATTACTCTAGTTTTATTGGAGCTCACCTTAAATTTATGGTTTAAAAATCGCTGTTTTCCTTCTTGGGGAAATGGAGAATTTACCCACGTCTAGTCCACACTATTTTTATTAGTTTTTTTTATTTTCTACTAAGTGTCAGTTCATCAGCCCCATGGGTTAAGTTAGTCTTCCTCATCAGTTCAGTTCAGTTCAGTCACTCAGTCATGTCCGACTCTACAACCCCATGAATCGCAGCGCATCAGGACTCCCTGTCCATCACTAGCTCCCTGAGTTTACTCAAACTCATGTCCATCGAGTTGGTGATGCCACCCAACCGTCTCATCCTCTGTCATCCCCTTCTCCTCCTGCCCCCAATCCCTCCAAGCATCAGGGTCTTTTCCAATGAGTCAACTCTTCACATGAGGTGGCTAAAATATTGGTGTTTCAGCTTCAACATCAGTCCTTCCAATGAACACTGAGGACTCATCTCCTTTAGGATGGACTGGTTGGATCTCCTTGCAGTCCAAGGGACTCTCAAGAGTCTTCTCCAACATCACAGTTCAAAAGTATCGATTCTTCAGCGCTCAGCTTTCTTCACAGTCCAACTCTCACATCCATACATGACCACTAGAAAAACCATAGCCTTGACTAGATGGACTTTTGTTGGCAAAGTAATGTCTCTGCTTTTTAATATGCTGTCTAGGTTGGTCATAGCTTTTCTTTCAAGAAGCTAGTGTCTTTTAATTTCATGGCTGCAATATTCACAGATTTATTCATAGTAGAGGTCTCAATCCCTATAAAAATCCTAGAAAGGCATTCTGTAGAGACACACAAATATACTATAAAATTTATACAAATAGGCACAGGCCCTAGAATATCTAAAATTCTTTTGTAAAAGAAGAATAAAGTGGTAGAAATCACCCTACTTGGTTTCAAGACTTACATAGCTGCAGTATTCAAGACTGTGAGGGACTGGAGGACAAAGAGACACTTAAGTCAGTGGAACAGAATAGAGAGCTCAAAATGTCAAATGTAAAACCACAGAATTCTTAGAAAAGGACATAGGAGAAACATCTAGGGACAGGGAATCTGGTGAAGACTTCTTAGACTGGACATCAAAAGTATAACTAGTAAAATTTAAAAATGATAAATGGTACCACATCAAAATTAAAACCATTGAGAAGGAAGGTATATATGTACACATAGAGCCAATTCACTTCATTGTACAACAGAAACTAACACACCATTGTAAAGCCACTGTGTGTGTGTGTGTGTCAGAAGTCGCACAGTCGTGTCCAACTCTTTGCGACCCCATGGACTGTAGCACACCAGGCTCCTCTGTCCATGGGATTCTCCAGGCAAGAATACTGGAGTGGGTTGCCATTTCTTTCTCCAGGGGATCTTCCCACCCAGGGATTGAACCTGGTCTCCCGCACTGCAGGCAGACGCTTTATCCTCTGAGCCACCAGGGAAGCCCAAAGCAACTGTACTCCAATAAAAAATTTAAAAATGAAAACTTTGACCCATGAGAGACTCTGTAAAGGGGATAAATACCTGTTTTTACAAAGGGTACAAACAGAAGGAAAGATTTATAAGCCACTTATATGACAAAGAATTAGCATCTAGCATACAAAGTGTACCTTCTAAACTCAACAGGGAATAGGCCAAACAGTTTAATTAGATAATGGGTAAATATATTTTAAAAAAACATTTCACTGAAGAAGATACTGGGATGGCAAATGAACACATGAGAAGATATTCAATATCATTTGCTATTAGAGGAATGCAAATTAAGACTCCATAAGATATCACTGAACACTTATTAAAACAGCTAAAGTAAAAGTAATGACAATACCAAAGATGTGGAGAACCTGAAATTCTAATATGTAGATGATGGAAAGTTTAAATGTACAACCATTCTATAAAGTAGTTTGACAATTTCTTGTTGTTGCTCAGTCACTTAGTTGTGTCCCACTTGGCAACCAGCAAGTGAAGGCTTGTACTTTGCAGCACACCAGGCTTCCCTGTCCATCACCAACTTCCAGAGCTTGCTCAAACTCATGTCCATCAAGTCAGTGATGCGATCTAACCATCTCACCCTCTTTCATCCCCTTCTCCTCCTGCCTTCAATCTTTCCCAGCATCAAAGTTTTTCCAATGAGTCAGTTCTTCACATCAGGAGGCCCAAGTATTGGAGCTTCAGCTTTAGCATCAGTCCTTCCAATGAATATTCAGGACTGATTTCCTTTAGGATTGACTGGTTTGATCTCCTTACTGTCCAAGGGAGTCTCAAGGGTCTTCTCCAGCACCACAGTTTGAAAGCATCAATTCCTTGGGACTCAGCCTTTTTTATTGTCCGGCTTTCACATCCATACATGACTACTGGAAAAATCATAGCTTTGACTAGAGTACCTTTGTCAGCAAAGTAATGTCTCTGACTTTTAATATGCTGTCTATGTTAGTCATAATTTTTCTTCCAAGGAACAAGCATCTTAATTTCACAGCTGCAGGCACCATTCACAGTGATTATGGAGCACAAGAATATAAAGTCAGCCACTGTTTCCACCATTTCCCCATCTATTTGCCATGAAGTGATGGGACCAGATGCCATGATCTTAGTTTTCTGAATGTTGAGTTTTAAGCCAACTTTTTCACTCTCCTCTTTCACTTTTATCAAGAGGCTCTTTAGTTCTTCTTCATTTTCTGCCATATGGGTGGTGTCATTTGCATATCTGAGGTTATTGATATTTCTCCCGGCAATCTTGATTCCAGCTTGTGATTCATCCAGCCTGGCATTTCATATGATGTACTCTGCATATAAGTTAAATAAACAGGGTGACAATATACAGCCTTGATGCACTCCTTGGCAATTTCTTAAAAACCTAAATATACAAATCATAGACTGGATAAGCAAAGTGAAGAGAAGTATTAGTCATTCAGTTGTGTGTGACTCTTTGCAACCCCATGGAGTGTAGCCTGCCAGGCTCCTCTGTCCACTGAATTCTCTAGGCCAGAATACTGGAGTGGGTTGCCATTCTCTTCTCCAGGTGATCTTCCTGACCCAGGGATCGAACCTGGGTCTCCTGCATTGCATGCTAATTCTTTATCATTTGAACCACCAGGAAAGCCCAGACTGGACAAGCAAACTTTTTGTCATTTCTCAGAGAAATGAAAACATTCACACAAAAATCTGCACCTGGCTCATCCTAGCAGCTTTATTCGTAATAGCCCCAAACTAGAAACAACCAAAATATCTTATTATGGGTGACTGGTTAAACTGTGATATATCCTCAGCAGTAAAAATGCAACTACCCATACACCTAACAACTTGGATGAATCTTAACAACATTATGCTGAGTGGGGGGAAAAATCAGTATCAAAAGATTACATACTGCATGATCCTGTTTATACAACCTGCCAAAACACAGAGCCGGAGAATAATTAGTGATCAGCAGGGGCTAGAGGTAGGGGGAGTACTGGGTGTGGCTATAACGGAATAGCTTTATGGGAATCTTTGTGGTGAGAGAAGAGTTTTCTATCTTGGTTTTGGTGGTGGTTACAGGCATCTACACTTGGTATAAAATGACACAGGCCTACACACACAATATATCACACACATATCAAATTCCTGGTTTTGTATTGTACTATAGTTAAACAAGATGTAATCAATTGGAGAAACCAGGTGCAGGTTACAGGAGACCTCTCTGGACTATCTGTGTGATTTCTTAGGAGCTGTAATTATTTTTTAACACAGGAGAATAATTAAAAATAAACCTCATTTTGTCTTGGCTGGCTGTAACCCTATTATCTCATAAGAGGAGAAACCGTGAGACTGTGGAAAACCACGGTACTCAATTTTACACAGACGCAGGACCTGGGGCACCAAACAGGGTCTGTGCGCCAGCGACTGGGAAGCCCTTAGGAGTTTCCCACACCCGTCGGGAGGGTGCGGAGGCGGGGTCCCGGAGCTGAAGCCGCGAGTGAGCGGCGCGCAGCCGAACTCCCGCCCCGCCCTCCGCCGCTCCCGGGAGCCGGTGCCGCGTCCTCACCGCGGGGACTGTCGCCCCAGCATTCCGGACAGCCACAGCGCCTGGCCTCAGAGAAGAGCAAACGAACTTTGAACTAGGAACGTTTTTGGTCAATGGGCTAATCTGCCTTGCTTTGGCTCTTGATTATGAGTTAAAGCCCTGCACTGTTTTCCCTCCCCCCGAACCTCCCGAGGTGCCTGAGCGCGGAGCGGAGGCTGCCGAGGCCTCCAGGGGCGGGAGGCGGCCGCCGGGCCGGTCCTCCGGGAGCCCGCGCCCCGCCGCGCGGGAGTCCGTGCCCCCGGAGGTGGAGGGCGCTCGGGGCGCACGCAGCATGCAATCGCTCAACATCACTCCGGAGCAGTTCTCCCGGCTGCTGCGGGACCACAACCTAACGCGGCAGCAGTTCATCTCGCTCTACGGGCTGCGGCCGCTCGTCTACACCCCAGAGCTGCCCGCGCGCGCCAAGCTGGCCTTCGTGCTCACCGGCGTGCTCATCTTCGCCCTGGCACTCTTTGGCAACGCGCTGGTGGTCTACGTGGTGACCCGCAGCAAGGCCATGCGCACCGTCACCAACATCTTCATCTGCTCCTTGGCGCTCAGCGACCTGCTCATCGCCTTCTTCTGCATCCCGGTCACTATGCTCCAGAACATCTCCGACAACTGGCTGGGGGGTGAGTTCGCGCCCTTTCCTTCGCCCCTAATCCCCAGCCTTCCCCCCACCGCAACACACACTCTGCGCTTTTGACTTTACTTTTTTTTTCTCTCTACCAAATGAATCCAGCGCCCTTTCTCAGAACTTCCTTACCTGCTCTCACTTGGAAATAAGTTTTTGCTGCTTTTGTTTCCGTTCCACCGTTTTTCTTCCTGTCGCTTAGAAACTCAAGTTAGGAAGCACTTAGGAGAGGCTCAGGGCAGTGGGGTGGAAAGTCACATCAGTTATTTCAGCTTCCTTTTCCATAGTTCCCTGGGTGGGGAAGAGCCCCTGGAGAAGGGAATGGCAGGCAACCCACTTCAATATTCTTGCCTGGAGAATTCCATGGGAGGGGAGCCACGAGGTCTTAAAGAGTCGGACACAACTGATCGCCAAACACACACTTTCCATAATTATCAGAACTTTTTCCCATTTTTTGAATAAAAGTGAGATAAAATTTCAAATAATAAAAGCCCCAACAACTCATTCCTCTTATCTCCAGCCTCACTCCCCAGGTTGCCTATACAGGTGTTTGTAGTGCACGTATATTTATGGACTTAAAACTTTAAAACAAACCTAATGTGTTAGCAGGAAAAAAAAAAAAATCTAGTCCATCTTAAAAACAAACAAAAATACATAAACCGACTCATACTTGGAGAAGGAATACAGAAAACATAGTGCCCCTGGAAGAGAAGAGATTAATTTCTCTTCCTTAGAAGGAGAGCAGAAATGGAAGAGAACCATTTGGAACCATTGTTGAGTGGGGAAAATAGACACCAAACTCTTCCCAAATGATCCAGTCTTTCCAAAGACACACGGCTAGAGCATGTGTTTTGTAATCCTAAATAGTAGTGGGTTGTATTCTTACCAATGCTTATGGAGTGCCCTGAGGAGGAAGCATTGGTTGTACCTGTATTTTCATGGGTGAATGTACTCTTGTGACCACATAAAAATTCTTAGAAAGTAGTTGGAAATATAGGGAGAACAGGGAGAAGCCTTGCTATTTCCACCCATTCCTGAGCTAATCCCTTTTATTCTTATGGTGGGTGTTTATTTCATCCTACTAGTACCAACTTGAGATCCTCAATTTAAGTCTCTGGTGTTGTTTTCTTTTTTTTTTCCATTAATTTGTACTGAATTTATTGTAGTGGATCAGGATGCTAAAATCTTTGATTCCCATCTCATCTACGATGTATGTATTTCCCCAAATGCATCGAACATGAGTACACAGCATTGGCTTAAAAGTAACACATAATGCAGTGTCATAAATTGATTTATGGATTACTGACTTTTTTTTGCACTCTGATTTAAATCATTATACTTGCATATTTTAAAGTTGCCCATTGTAACTAACTCCACAGAATTAATGGAAAAACTTTTGACCATCACATATAGCTTTTTTTTTTTTTTGAGAAAAAGGCACAGGAGTTTTCATTTCTAAATGTTTGTGAAGACAGATCTGTGAAGCATGTTTGTATTTCTGGATGATGATAGCAGCATTTATAAAGTTAAATGAAATTAAGCAAAGTGGGTTCTTACACTGAGAATCAAAAGACTTGGATTAGTACTTTGGCAATAACACAGGTTAATTCAACATATCTGGACTTCAGTTTTTCAGTTAAGTATTAGGGATTCTAGAAGCTTGGAAGTGGAATGGGGCAAATCTTAAGCCCCTATCATTGGAGAGTGATGCCTAGGGAAGAGTACCTGGTGGACCTTCCTTCCTGAGGATTTAGGTGGGCATTGCAAAGATTTTTTTTGAACTTTCTGTTTTCCTAGTTCATGGTGAACATTTCACTTTAACTTCAAATGCTGAAAGAGCATACTACATTGCTTACATATATTTCAGAGTTAGTATGAAGGTAAAGTGTATTATAAAAAGTGCTTTGAAAAAATTTATCATTCCATGAATATGTAAGGAATTAATTCTATGAAGAAGTGTTTAGAGATGGTCTATGTTCATCTGGAACCAGATTTATAGGATAAAGGTTCTTATAAATTGAATAAGCAACACCAAAATTGAAGTTCAAGGGAAAAGAAAGCTTGTAGGCCAACTGGAGATAGTGGTACAAGGAGAATTAACTTGTACTTCACAGGATAGGATAATAATGGCAAAACTCCCCTGATGAATTACAAAAAGAGAGTTAAAGGGAATGTAACTTGAGTTGAAATCAGTTCCCAGTTTTTTAATTTATAAAGCTATTGAGGATCCCCTTTATTGGCAAAGCATTTTACTATGAGAATACAAAAATGACTAAAGCCCACATATGGCTCTATGGGCCTCAGAGAATAGGAAATAACCTAAGCTGGGCAAAAGGTAGGTATGGTAAGAGAGAATTTATTTAGCCCTGCAGCATGGAAAAGTCAGGAAGGTTTCATCAAGGCAGGGATCTTGAAGGGTAATTCAGACTGTTTCCAGAAGAAAAAGAAGAATGGAGTGCATTTTAGGAACAGGGCTTCAAAGTGTGCAGAAAAGAAAGTGATGTAGTCCAAGAATACTATTTAAGGAAGGCATTTCAGAGAATCCAGAAATACAGATTTTTATGCTGTTGGCATTAATTCAGATTTGAAAAATAAAATGCAGTTGGGTGAAAGCAAACCTCCCTGTGGGTTTGGCCACATATCACCTGATGTGAAGAGCTGACTCACTGGAAAAGATCCTGATGCTGGGCAAGGTTGAGGGCAGGAGAAGGGGGTGACAGAGGATGAGATGATTGGATGGCATCATTGACTCAATGGGCATGAGTTTCAACAAACTCCAGACAATAGTGAAGAAAAGTGAAGCCTGGCATGATGAAGTCCATGGGATTGCAAAAAGCCTGACACGACTGAGTGACTGAGTGACAACAACATGGACCTCCAGTTTGTGTCTTCTCTACAAAGCCTCTCGGACATTTCTGAGAACAGTAGCGTGGGAATGACTTGTGTTTCTTCTTTTAGTGTACTCTTTCCCTAGCTCAGGACCAAGAGCACCTCCTGAATTAAAGCCTCTGCTTTGATAAGATCAAGTGATTCATGCACATGTGAAAGTTTGAGAGGTACTGCTTTAGGTAATGGTTCTCGGACCTGGCTGCACAAAGAATCTCCTGAGGGAGTTTTAAAACTGCGCTGTGCCAGCCCCAGTGCAGACTGGTTGCATCTGCTGCTCTGGAGTAGTGACTTAGAGCCACTGTATGCCTCTCTCCCCAGCTCCCTGCAGGACATGAGATTGTTGCCTTGAAACTAGTCATAGCAGGAGTATTTGAACCATGGAAATTGTTAGTTATATATTTGTCCTTTAAAAAAACCCAGACACTTGTTTTCCAGCATACCCCTGAGCAGAGGTATTAAGTTTCCTTTTGTCCAGTAATGGCACATCCATGACAGTAAGACAAAGTGTATCCATAAACATTTAGTTTATTTATGAGATACAACTGATCCTCAGCATCTAGGTGTTGCCCAGCATTGTGGCAAGCTGATGTACAATCCTGTTTATATACTGTGTCTTACCATCCTGATATCAACTGTCTTTGACCTGTCAATTGACTTGTTCCCACACTACTCCCCAAAACTTCATCCCATATGGAGTGAGGATTCTCTTCCCCCCAAAATAATAAATAACATTTGCTCCTAACTTTTCTTTGATCACTGATATAAGGATGGGGTTGTGTTATTACCATAGCAATTAACAGTAAGGCCTTGAAAGTTCTGTCTCCGATCTAGTCTGATTTATTTGGTCAGACTCCAGCAGTGAGCTTGCCCACTGTGTTCTTGGGACCAGGGAATTTACCTCTCCTTATCTGTAGCTTACTCTTCTTCATTTTGTCTCTTTCCTCCTCCTCCTCCTTTTATCTTTCTTTACAATATCTACATGTTGCTCCACATTCACTGACTGAGCGTGTTCAAATTTTTTTTCCAGCTAAATTCGGTGTAATAAATTGAGCTTCTGAGTAATGCTATCAGACACTTTGCTCTCTTCTCTAGCTTTCCTGTAAACTTCTCTTTTCCTTCTATCTTTGTTTCCTTTATGTCTCTGTCTCTTTCTTTATGCTTTCCCTTTGAATGATTCTCACTTACCTTTATTTTTTTGCATGTGTATCAACAGAAGCCTAGTATGCAGTCTTTCTTTCCTCATTCATTTCTGCATTGAGGGTACAGCCAGGACTGTTCCTTACTTTCCTGATGACTCTGAAATAAGTATCTAATCATCTTAAGCCATAGTTCCTCACTCAATTTGAAGGCACTCTCAACCTCTAACATTCTCTCACCCTCCTTTGTCCCTCTGCCCAGGGTCTAAGTTATTATTAATAGTACTATGAGTCATTCTTGTATTCTGCATTTCCTAGGTATCCGCTCTGTTTATCAGGATATTGTAAATGGTGAGAAAGCTGTGCCCTGGTGGAATAGCCAGGTTTCAGTTAGAGCAAGAAGGGGAAGGAAGCATTCAAAGAAAAGATGGAGAATGCAGAGGATTTTGTTGATGTCAGGGTTCCAGAGTGCATAGTGGAAAAAGCACAGTGGAAGTGTTGGGCAGCAGAGGCTTGAGTCAAGTTGGGATGAGCCTGGATTGGGACCAGGAGCGAGGGATGGTCAAAGAGAACAGGCTTCACAGTGACTGAGGTACATGTGAACTTGAGGCCCGAGGGGTTATTTTATTTATTTATTTGGCTGCACCATGCCTTAGTTGAGGCAGGCAGGATCTTTGGTCTTTACTGGAGGCAGAAAATCAGTTCTAATTTTAGGCTTCTTTATGGCTCTCAGCATTAATAAGGTGAGGTGGGGAGTGTTTGGGGAGAGGGTGGAGTGGTCCCTTGCTGGCAGGGCTCTGTGCCCACTTTAATCCTGCTGTAGGTGTAGTCACAGCCAGGGGCAAGGATGGTCTCCCCGGGTATACAGAGTGCTCTGTGGCTCTCCCTGCAATCCTGCTTAGGGCAATGAAAAGGATTTTCTAATGGTTGTTGGCAAATTGAGTAAAAGCTCTTCTAAAAAAAGGAATTCCAA